TTAGATTAAATTCACACTCCTAACCCTCTCCAGTTCAATTTTCTTGCCCTATAAAAATACATTCCTTTTAACTCCTTTCAATTACCATTGTTTATTTTCTCTGAAACATCAACCTGAACAGTAGCTAGTCCACCCTTGCCACATCCATCCAGCTAAATGGTGTGGGGTGACTTTTCCAGAGATCATAGAATCATAGAGCTGGAAGAGACCTCAGGAGGTCATGAAGATGTGCTAGGAATTTTTCCATGGTACAGGTATTGTAATCTAATGGTTAGAGTGCAGACCAGGAAGTCAATGGCTGAGTCAGGTGAGAAGCCAGCTATCTGACTTGCAGCGTAATTATGAACAGGGAACTTAACTTCTCAGGGCCTCTCTTTACCCAAATAACAACACATCTCTGCTTTTCAAAAGTCCACTGACTTCTTTGGACACAAGGTGCTGAATAAATGCAAACTATGCAAATAGTCATTATGATGAAACCTTGTTTATACAGATAGCGCCATTACTGTTGTCACCCTTTTGTGCCCCTCTTAGCCCAGAGTTGCAGCCTGCAAAACCTCTTTCTTAATCCAGACCTTACTATTACCTCCCCTATCCAAATGCTTCAGAAGTATAAGGCCTGAATAAAAAAACCCTGATTTCACATATGGCTATATTGAAGAAAAAAGGGTGTTTTAACTCAGGCAAAAATCACATGGAAGAGACAAAAACCTGGCTTTTACCTCAGGTGAGCAGCAAATGTTAATGCAGGTTACCAGCTCATCACCAACCCTAGGCTCCTCTCCAGGTTTTAGCAGGTCTCCCCTTGCAACTTTAACTTAACTTAGCTGCTGCGAGTTAGTTAACCTGAATTAAGAACACGTATTTTGGCAATGTAAATACCCTTCCAGGCACCATTCGATTATGCTGTTTGCCACAGAGTTGCAGCATTTGGGGAAAGTGTTTGAAGAATTACAGCTACCGCACGGTGGTGCTATGGAGTCAGGATGTGGTATTGTGCTTTGTGTTATTTATTGGTGTCCTAAATTCTCAGCTATTTTTACACTGTAGTGCCATCAATCCCTTAAGTAATTCCATAGGTGAGCATGGGAATGCCACTCTCCAAAAGAAGAATATTGAATGAAATCCTAAGAACGGGAACTCAAAGTTTCCTGTATGTGAATGTAGTCCATGAAGTTGACAACTTGGCCCATTTAATCTGTACCAAAACTCTCAGTGAGCCAGGGCTAGCAGAATGTCGCAGTTATGCCTTAGACAACCAGCAATAAATGACTCCAAATCTGTGCTGTTTGCAGTGGTGTAGCCATAGTGGGGCCAGGCTATTGGAGACACAGGGCGGATGGGGTAATATGTTTTTTGGACTACCTTTAATTGGTGAAAGACAATTTTTGGGCTACGGCAAGCTGCTTAGGTCTCACAAGTCATACTATCACTGAGCAGCTGTGATATGGAATGGCATGCACTGGTTTCTTAGTCTGATCAGTCACACGCCCCGTGAAGAGCATTCACTTAGGTTTGTGACAAAACTCCGATAGAAAGATGCAGAAAAGCATTGTTCCTATTGGACACCATTCTTTGAGGCTACAGAATTTATGACACAGTTAATTATTAATTTGGCTGGCATCTGTAAAGTAGAAGGGAGTTCTTGTGCTTTTAGGCCATGTGCTCAGTGAGTAAATCTCTTGTACAGCTGCCATAATCATATTCCTGCAGCTATGTTGTCACCTCTTGTAATTTTTCTGCTAATAAGAAAATTTAAACTAGCCAGGAATCCTAAATTTGAGGACTAGTTGTTTATTTCAAATATACTCCAGAGAAATAATAATGCAGTGCTGCTCTGAATTTAATTTAAACAGGAACAGGCAAAACAAATCTCTGTGGAGGGCATTTGACAATAATAAAATATTTCTCCCAGCGGGTGAGCTGGTAGCAATTGTATTGTTGCCATCAAAGCTCACGTTTCAGCAGGTCATTACCATCATAACAAGCCCTTGGACCAACTGGCATGGACATGCAACATTGAGCTCCTGATGGGCACATTATTTCAGACCTTTAACTTCATGGAGAACAAGACGAATACTCCTGGGAAAGGAGGATTATATTTTGAAATGCCCTTCTTTTCTGTTCTACTTAATAATAAGATGCTGTGTGTAATCAATCTACTGCTACGTGCTTTTTTATATTAACATAGTAAGAAATTAGTCTTGGGAATTTGAATGCTGGGAAAGAATGGGTGAAAATCTCAACAAAGACGACTATTACCGTGACCAAGATATATCAATCCACCTATAAAAAACTAAATGATTGTGAATAAAATTTTTAAAAAGGCAAACAAATCTACTACTGGCATTTTCCACATTTGCATTTCTGTAGCAAAGGAGAGGAGAAAGTTTATAGAATATGTTAGAGGAGAGGTATTCTAGATACACAAAATCATCATCTTATCAGACAAGAAAAAACATGTGATGTAGTTACTGCAGCCAGACTATATAACAAGGATATAGTAATTAACAAAGAGCCACGTGAAATCAAAGAGAACTACAATCCACTAGAGAGACTGAATGCAAAGGAAAGGAAAGGTGCAAGTGAAAAAACAGATAAGGAAAATAAGCAAGGGTAAACAAAAATTGACTTAGAATTCAGCAAACAGATTAAAATTGTGCCATTCTTGTGTTCAGTCTAAAGAGCCAATACAGGTTAAGTGAAAAAATAAGGAAGTGTTTTGATATTCTGCAAAAAAAAAAAAAAAAAAAAAAAGCCAGTGAGAAAATACCATGTATGGGGCATTTCCAGAGGAGACAGCGGGGAGCACCTAAAAAGAACATTTACGCATCATGGATATTTGTCCCTACATAAGCAATATTTCCATATGTTTATCTTTAGAAATATATTGTTTTCCTACATCCATTTAATCTGTACTAGTATTTCTGTAACAATAGTACCACATTCTAAATAACCACAAACACAAGTGTATGCATAAAATACATAGTGCCTGAAGACTGATTTCCATACAATGTCTTTTTCTACAGAAGGCTTATCTAGAGAGAATATAAGCTACTAATTTGGTGGTGTTCCATATCACCCAGTACTGTGAGTCCATGAGATCATAAAAAGCGAAGGAGAAGTAGACTATTGCTGGCAGGGAGTCTCCAAGGATAACCAAGATGCTATCGGAAGTAGAATGTGGTTCAGTGATATACTCAATTAGTAGCACTTTTTCCTCCAGAATCAGTACTGAATCTTTTGCATTTTAGCACTAGATAGCACACTGGTGGAGAGAACACCTGTTGAATGAGATTTAAAAACCAAGCTTCTGAGCACTTTTCCTCTTTTACAGCTAAGAGTTAGTGAGTCTTGGCCAACTTCCCCATGGGTACTTGCAAAAATATTTGTGCCTATTTAAATATTTCTATTGGATAGTTGTCCACTTCCTCAACTAAGCAGCTGTGTAGTGCTATTAGCTGTTAAATGTTTGCCATGGTGCACCCAGAAGTGGGTGCATTTCAGTTGTGTGAAACGCTCTCTGCTTTGTATATACCCCTATTTATGCCTTTCCTGGGAAAATGTGATGCTCATTCAATGCTTGTTCTGAGATCCTTAGCTGAACAATGGAATAGAAGTGCTACTTATTATAAGAAATGTTTGTGGAAATGTTCACAGTCAAACGTTTCAAGCCAATGAATAGATACAATTACATTTTGTTCAAATCTGGGGCATCTGCAACTCGAAGAGTGGCATATTGTTTACATATGGCAAATTACAGTTTGCTTTGCTTTTTTTAGAATGATATGTTCTGAACAATGCTGCTCTCCATTTTAGGATGTGATGATGCATTATACTCCAGTCTGAAGAGCTACTGGGCAAGAACTCAAAATCAAATCATAAAAGTCAAGTCAGGCAAAATTGTATATGCTGTTTCAAAATATTTGGATTTCTTTCTGTCATTCCTTTATTCCAGGAGAACTTTCTTAAAACAAGTAAAATGTAGAAAGTACTTTCCCTCCCCCCTTCTCATATCCTTCAATGGCATATTACTAATTAAAAGACTGTACAATTCTAAAATACCAAGCGTTCTCCTGATAGTTTGTCTGAATGACTGAAACAATTCTTGTCCCTGAATACCATTCAGTTCAGTAGCCTTTGTGTCATCAGCCAAAGTCTCCAGGGAATAGCCAGCACTGAAGGTGAGAAATATGTTGGGCAAACACAATGACAAAATACTATCAAGAAGAGAGTCTAAAAAGCAAGAAAAGCACACATTAGCACTTCTGTGACGGCTCCAGAAGGGTCCGCAGGACACACAGTTGGACCCAGTGCAATAAGGGCTATAACCTTTCAGTTGGTAAAAGGTTGAGAGGCTATTTACTGTCAGTTTTAAACCAAGCTGTTTAACCCTTTGGATCTTCAAGACTAATGAGAGTTCTTCATTAACACCAATCTCTATTATTGCTCCCATGACTACTTACTTCTATGCATGAAAGCTGGTTCAAATAATGCATATATTTTAAAAGAAACAAACCCAGAACATGTAAAAGGAGTCCCTTTTATAGGAAATGAATGATGGATTTAGTTGTTGATGGAGAAATCAAATAATTATTTCTAGATGGTATTAATATGATCTTAAAATAGTGGGAAAGTTTTCTTTTATGACATTGACAGAGAGACAATGATTTTGAGTAATGCAGGTTGATGTGGAGATGCTTTAAGATTAAATAAGAGCTATATAAAGGCTTGTCAGAATGAATTCTAATGTGCTATGAGACATTTTGCATATTTAAGAGTATGCAAAATGTCTTGCACCACACTGGAATTCATTTTGACAAGCCTTTATATAGCATTTATTTAGACTTGTACTCTACTTTAAAGGGAAAGGGGTAATGCTTGCTACTCTTTGAATGGAAGTAACAAAAGGTAATGCTTATTGAATTGTTTCCCTCTTATAACAAAAACAAAAACCAAAAAAACATAACCACAACACAAAAAATAAAATAAAAGCGATCAAAAGTGGAAGCTTGTTTAATATTGCTCTACCATCATCCTGAAAGGCATAATAATTTCAGTTACACATCTGAACTGATTGGAGTTACAGAATCATATCTCCTTTTTGCATTTAACAATATATACAATATAAAATAAATACATTTACACAAATGGACATTGGTTGGAGCACACGGTATGATACACATCACAAAAATATACAGTTGATTGCTTTACAGATGTGAAGCCCATCTACAGCTATAGACATGGTTATTTTACTACTGGCTATTATGCAACTCCTGGATTTTTATTTATTATAAGCAGTTTAATTTTTTTTTGTTCTTTTGCAATCTTTGCACGATAAGACTGCCATAAAATGTTTTCCTAGGCAGGTAAACAGAGACGCTTAAATAATTAAAATACAATCACCAACACCCATTTTCTCTTCTATAAGAAAAATAGCAGTTTTAATTTTTTATATCTTTTTTATGTTATCATTTAAATGCAAAATAGTGGAATAAATACAACAATCTGATCTGATTGAAACAAATGTGTAACTTCTGGGAGTCACACAATCATATTGCTTTAAATAAGAAAAAATAAAAAATGAAGCAAAAAATAGAAATTAAATCATAATGGCTAAAACAGACACCTTTTGAAATTTTCCCAACACTTCACATTAAATAAGTGGTCTTGAAAGAACTCTCCTCCAGCTAGGTTTAGGATTAACATTATTATAAAGACTGTGCAGTTCTTTTAGCCTTATTTCATTGAAAAGTTTTTAAAGTCTTGAGATACTTGTTCTTTTGCAGCTCTACAAATTACTAAAAATGAAAACTAATGTTTGCACCTTGTGCCTTTAACACATCTCCATTTTTCTGTGTTTTTTGTATTTTTAGTTTATTGGCTTTTGACCCTGAAGCCCAAGTTCTTTAATGTGATACAGCAAAACAATATTTATATTATATATTTATATTTATATATATATATATATATACTGTAATTGAACAGTAGTAACTTAAACCCTGCACAAACTATCTGGAAAATAAACATTTTTTGCACTCTTACATATATAAATAATCTTATAGAATCAGCACCTTTTTTTTCCCAGGAGTTGTATTTTTTTGTCATTTTTAAAAGGGATGTGCCAATTTCTGAACTCCTATCACAGCTATAAATTTCAAGTTATTGACCATCTGAATGAATTGCTAATGATGATTTATCTAGAATCACACTACAGTCACTTCTCTACTGAGAAAACACAATCTACAATATAGTCCCATAGAGCTAATGATAGATACACAGTATTTTCTAGCACAAGGCTGATGCACCATCAGCCTATTGTATTTTGTTTAAAGCACACAAAGTAGCAATAGTTTTGGAAACTTGTCCGCACCAAAAAAGTTTTGCAACAACACAGAGCGAGTTAATAACAACATCTGAGAGATGATTGAATAAAAGCTATATTTACAGCATTTAAAAATTAGACTTATCTAGAATCTTGAAATATTCAAAGTTTTATTTCTAAGCTATACATTGGTATTCTATAATAAACTGTTACAGAAATTATCCCTTGTTTTGAAAATATTATTATTTCAATGTGTATCTGTCAGTAATGAGTACTTGTTTTGGAGTTTCGATCTCTTAATTATTACTAGGAAGAACCTTATTACCAGTAAGGAATAGAATATACTACTGTAATCTCCTGAGGAATTGTACATCCAATATTGTCTCTAATTCTACCCTGTGTCTATAAGCACACACCACAAGAATCCAAACACCACAAGAAGAACAAGACAACAGTCTTTGAATGCAACATAAAAATTTGGAAAAGCACAGCAAACATGAAACACTGAAAAGCTGAACTACATTTCTTTTGTTTGTTAGGATTACAATTTTAATTACATCTGTGTACATAGAATAAGGATGTTCACATAGTACAGGGAGCAGCTACTAACACTGGTACATTGGTATAGCATTTGATGGAGGTTATTGTTTATTGGTTATTTAGCGACTGTAGTTTTCTGGGGGCATCTAATTGGCTTATACATTAGATTACACCTCTAACAGTCTTGAAACTGACTGACTTTCATGCTGTGACAATACTGGTTGAAAAGCACATATATTGATTTAGCTACTTGTTAAAAATTGCAATTTCCAAAATAAAGTCTAAGTTAATAACTAAAGTGTGGACGTGTTAAATTGTTGAATTTGGTCAGAAGTCTACTATTCTGATTTCTTAATTTTGCAAACATTGGCATTTGTCTTATTGCCTCTATGCTAGTATTGGTACACAGGTCTTTGTGTGATTATAACTTTGCAAGTAACAGGCAGTATCTCATTCATTTACAACTGAATCATTTAGAAATCATGTAGCAACTGTACATTTGTACAGTCACACTCTCTTACCATAGATTTATACTTGATATTAGACTACTCAGATATGCGGTAGGTGTAATCTAATTCTTTGTGTCAGTGAACATTTAGTTAGAAACTGGAGCTCATGTTAAGAAACTGGATGTTTTGGACCAGACTGGCACACAACATAAATTGCATCCGTGATAATATGCACCTTCCCTTCAACTATTGCTTTAGTAAGATAAATTCCCACATTAATAAATGGCTGAAAAGTGGTAAAGCTGGTACAAAAAAATCTCCATTAGTAAGAAGAAACAAAACATTTAAAAAAATCTTCCTTCAGGATTCATTTGTCCTTCATTATTGTTCATCATTGTTCAAGCCAGCACAAAAATGCAGTATTTTTTTCTCTCTTTAGTATTGCATGAATGAATAAAGCTTAAACTATTCCCTGAAAAAGTTACATTGTAGCTAACCTAAGAAATATCTGGAAGACTTGAAAAAACAATTAAGGAATCAAATGGCTGTAACTGATCTAGATGGAAAATGCAATGATAAGAAGCAGCCGATGCATCGTTGCTTAGTTGTCTAATTAGAGACTGCTCCTATGAAATCTAATACTGCATTCAGTCAGTTCATCGTGTTGTACTGTACTGCAAGGTATGATGGTTCTTTCTTTGATTCCTTTGTCACTGGGGACATTATGGTTCATAATAAGTTCACTGGCATCCATATTATGGATTTCCATCCTTTGGCAGGCCTGGCTTCCATCTCTCTTCAATTAGAGACCTCTTTTAAAAAGTTCAGCAGCAAAGGGTGGGGGAGGAGGGGTGAGAGAGGAAGAGGAAGAAATAAAAGAACAGAAAAGGAAAACAGGAAAGAAAAAAAAACCTGCATCAGATAGACACAGAAGAAAGAGTTGAAAGCTGCTTCACAGTCTTGCTGCTAAATATCAGTGCAGTCATTTTTTCCCTTAATTAAACACTAAGTTTCGTTGCCATTATTATCCTGTGTATTTTCCCTTTTTTCAATGAGCATGATGGGAAGGCCCATTATGCTTTAGTCAGACCTTGGCCTCCAGCATTTCCAAAAAAAGTTTGTGCATGGGGACTTTGCCTTCAAGTTTGATGTTGTAGAAATGCTGCACGGCCTTAGTGGAAGTTTGCCTCAGAAGTGGGAGAGTCATCAGCATCTTGCCAGCTCGGCGTGGATCTTCCATATGCTGCCCGGCCTCGTAATCCTGTAGAGCCTCATGTAAGACATCCTGAAGTTTCTGCACTGCTTCAACATCTTCTATGTGCATTGAGTCTGCAAAATAGAGGAGCAACATCAGTTTTCAGCAGTGTGCTGGGATGTTGGATGACAGCATAACAGTTCTAGACTGTAATGTGCACTGTAATAAGTAACGGTACTATAATTATTGATGGACTTGGAAAATACTCTGTAAATACATCCATCTTAGTTTAAGATAAGCTAGGTAAGTGGGTAACTATTTCTCTATTGACCTTCAGGAAAATATTTAGGTCTCCTTGTGTAATTACACACATGTAATTGCCATCTGTAAAAGTGCTAAGTGAATGTACACGTGAAAAAGTTAAAAACTATCCCTGCAACAAATAGACACATTTCCTAGACAGATTGGACCTTCCAAAACTGGGACTCCCTCATCCGGCAACATCCGTGGTCTGGCATAACTATGGTGTTCCTGGACCAGGGAGTCCTGGCTTGGAGCCCAGTGGGGCTGGAACCTGGGACTGGCGCCGGAGGCCCGGTAACACAGCAAGGGCTGTGGCAGCTCCACCCCCCCCAGCCACAGCATTCCCAGTAGTGGGTCTGGGGCTAGCCCCGATAGTGAGATTAGGACCTGGGCAGCCCGGCAGCCTGGCAGGGGGCATGACTGGGGCTGGCAGCATGGAGGGAAGGTGATCTGGGCAACTAGTAGCAAGGAAACTCTTTTGGTCCAGCAAATTCCCTCATTCAGGACTGATCAGGTCCCGAATGTGCTGGATCAGAGAGGTTCAACCTGTGGTCATTTTCCTAGTTCCACAGATATTAGAGTAATGAAAGAGCAGAGTCCCACTCAGTCACAGCCTATATTGCTAGCTCTGCAAAAATGGCTCCCTTCAAAATGTGTGGCATCAATCCATGGCAATCTCCATGGTTACAGACTGAGATGCCATTGATCAGAAAAAAAGGGCCACTGGTCTGTCACATGGGCTTGCACAAGGAAACTGTGTGTGCATGTGACTTCTTTCATCCTTCATGGGCTAGCACAGAACATTTCCTTCCTGCAAGTCATCCTTACATAAATTCTAATCAAGTGGTCTGCAGAGCACATCTGGGTGGTGTTTGGAGATGCCTCTATTCTGGGCAGGCTACATCTAGCAGGAAATGTCAGTGTTAGGAGGCAGTTTGAGTCCCATTGTGATATTTCTGCCAATTAATCTAAAACAAAATAAAAAAGCCAAATGCTTCTCTTCATCTTGCCTGGATACTTTGTGTCTGTCTAGCTGTTTCAGTGGGATAAACTCAACTGTTTTGAATAAGAGACCTAACCAAAACACACAGGAGGAACCAAACTGGAGGAACCAAACTGGACTGCCAAGTGACCTGGTAAGATTCAAGCAGTAGAAGCTGCAGACAACAAGGGGAGATTTAGTCCAACCTAAATTAAAGCCCTGAAGAGCACAGATACAAAGCAAAGAGATGTAATCAAAAAGCCAAACACACTACAACAAAATGGCTGTGTCTACACTGGCATGAATTTCCGGAAATGCTTAAAACGGAATACTATTCTGTTTTCAGTTTTTCCGGAAAAGGAGCATCTACATTGGCAGGCTGCTTTTCCGGAAAAGCCCTTTTTCCGGAAAAGCATCTGTGGCCAATGTAGACGCGCTTTTCCGGAAAAGAGCCCCAATCGCCATTTTCGCGATCGGGGCTTTTTTCCGGAAAAGACTACTGGGCTGTCTACACTGGCCCTTTTCCGGAACAGTGTTCCGGAATAAGGACTTATGCCCGAGCGGGAGCAGAATAGTTTTTCTGGAATAGCGGCTGATTTTGTACAGTAGAGCATCGTTGCTTTTCCGGAAATTCAAGGGCCAGTGTAGACAGCTCGCAGCTTATTCCAGAAAAGCGGCTGATTTTCCGGAATAAGTGGCCCAGTGTAGACACAGCCAATGGGTGTATTTTAAATTTGTAGTCCTAATCCTATGATTATTTCCTTTAACGATGAAAGCTAAATAATGGAAGATTGGGGGTGGCGAGAAACGTGGACCATGAAACAAGTGGTTCAGATATGTAAAGGTGACAGAACCTTATATAGTTTTCTGAGCGCAATAATGGGCATTGGGTACATCACTTGCAATAGATTATCCTTCCCTAGAAGTCAAAGAGGTATTGTCCTAAATTGCCTGGGTATGGTTTCTGACATGAAATGTGTTAGATAATAATAAAATAATAATTTCCCATTCTTTTTCTCTGTTAGCTCTTAATTGCTATCTGATATCTTCTAACAAGATTGAAATGTTAAGGCACTTCAGTACTTAGCCACAGGAACCCTAACAGCCTCTCTTTCTCCAGCAGTGGGGAGGTGAAGGGGGGAGAAATGTTCTTTTCTTCTCTAAGAGATAGTTACACCACCATCATCGGAGAGCTGATGAAGGTAGATTTGGGACCCCTCCTACCTCTCATATCGTAGCAGCTTTGTTTTGGGGCTACAGGAAGACATTTCACTTTCACATCATTACATCTGAAAAAAGAGCTTTGCTAAATAGTCAAAAACTTTAAAATCAATTATATGATTATTTCATCTCTTGTATTAAGCAGTATCATATATCTGGTGGCTGACACAGCATCTAATTTGTCAGTTTTATCTTACAGAAGATAACTGTCTATCAGGTTGTGCTACATGAGTTTGATTTTTGCAAGTCTTACTTATCAAAGTAATTTTTGTTCAAGCATGTGGCTCCACTGGCTTTCATTGGACCATTTGACTAAAAGTTGCTGAAGTGAGTAACAATTGCAGGATTAGGTCCAGAAACCTGAACTAGAATCTTAAAGATAAGATACATATATTTCCTACTAATACCTCTTTTATGAGATAATTTCAGCATGTGGGAAATTCTCCTCTTACTAAAAAAGGCAATGTGAAAGGGGAAAAAAACATTACATGCACGAACAAATAAGAGGTTAACAAAGAATGGCCTATATTCCACCTTGAAAGAAAGGTACAAACTGAAAAAAAGTTATTGTTCCTGGTCTTAAACAAACAATTAGGGTATGTCTACACTACAGCGCTAATTCAAACTAACTTAGTTCGAATTAGTTAATTCGAACTAAGCTAATTCGAACTAACGGATCCAGACTAAAACACTAGTTCGAATTAGCGTTTTGCTAATTCGAACTAGCATGTCCACATTAAGTGGACCTGAACCAGGGTTAAGGATGGCCGGAAGCAGTGCCGGCAGGGCATCAGATGAGGACTTAGAGCGTGGAGCTGCTGCCTCAGGCTAGCCGAGGGCTGTGCTTAAAGGGACCCGACCCCCACCCAGGACAGACAGTTCTCAGGGGTTTCCCGTTTCCAAAGCAGCCCTGGCTTGGAGTGCCCTGAGTGCCCACACTGGGCACATCACAGCACTCGGCCATCAGACCGACTGCACTTGCTGCAGGCTGCCATCTGGGGAGAGGGGCAATTGGGGGGCTGCAGGAGAGCTTCCACCCCCGGAAGCCTGCAGAGCAAGCCCAGTCCTCCCCATCGGGGGCGCGTACTCCATTCCTCCCTCACCTCCTTCCACTTACCCCT